AAAGTACAGCCTGGTTGATAAGCCTGGTTCAGTTGTTCATTTCTCCTGGAAGATAGTGGAAGAGTGAAAATATACATAAATAATTTCCCTGTTGACCCCACACTGCACAGGATCCTCTGCTGCTGGCAAAGATGGTTAGCAGTGCCCGAGAAGGGAACAAGCCCAAGCTCACTGGGAAATAAGCTGATGTGGGCACGCTCCATGAGGGTCATCCTGAATGCCAAAGCTGATGGCCTAAGCAGATTAGTATAATGTAATGTAATGTGATGCAATAAACAGTTTGTCCACCTAGTAATCACCATTCACTCGGAGATCTCTGTGGCGGGAGCTTCAGGAAGCGGAATGAAGCATTAGAGCATAGGATATAAAGGGAGCGAGGCTTTCCTTGAGCTTTGAATGGTGAGAAGGTGTGATGAAATTATGCTAGAGAAGCACTGATGGCATAAGAGACGCATCAGCATTTTAGTTTGATTTGGTTTGATGTGTGGTTTCAAAGCAAATCTCCCAGTTGCTGCTCACCTTGCTTTGGTCCTTGCTGTGGTGCATAGAGCACAGGCTGCATCACTTGGGGGTTTGCTTGTGCTCCAGATGTGCACCTAATGCTCACCAGGTCTCATAGGCTGGTTTTCAGAGTACTCTGAGCCCTGAAATGCATACGGTGTGCGTTCTGGATCCTCAATAGCCCATTTCATTCTCTATACCCCGTCCTACTGAGCCACACTGACTGTTAATGGAGACAAGCTGGAGAGACAAAGGAAAAAGAGTTTCTAGATATCAGGGAGCATTTAGGAGTCTGAATAAATTACTCTTTCCAGGGTGGATGACTGTCTTTTGTAATTGCAAACCTAGGGATTATAAAACATCTCAAATCACTGATATCTTTTCAACTTCCATGGGAAGTTCTTAAACCAAAATTGTAAAAAAGGTGTTGTGCGCTTCCAAAGCTCAGATCAAATAAAGTCTTAGTGAGGGCAGGTGTAATTCCCATTCCTATCAAAAGCAGCAGGACTTAGTTAACACTAGGAATAAATTTCAATAACTATCCTTTTGCTGCCTCCTCTTTTCTGGTTATAGCAGCTGAAGGGTTGTAGTATAAGGGAATTAGGAACAGAGGAGGTGCTGATAAACTCTGGTTTGTCAGAGCTTCCTGATCCCTTGAAGCCTGAACCTTCAGTAACTCAGAGGAAGATGGAGATTGTGCTGAAAGATACTGAAAATAAGAAAAAAAAAAGGTTAATCAAGCTCTGAGGTTGAGCTATTGCACTTATCTCTGCCTTGCCTGCAGGGTTAGTATGTGCTGCCACTGAGTGTCTGTTTGACTGATAAAATGCTTTTAAGTAGAGACAAACTTTTTTCCCTAGCTATAATTTCAAACCACAGGAACATCATGGATTTGACATCAAGGGTTGATGTTTCTGAAGCGTCAGTGTTGTGAAGTCTCGTGATGCTATCACAAGTGTAGAAAAATTCTTGCGCTCGTGGGAATATTATTTTTACTTAAATGAAAGCCAATTTCTCACCTTTCTTGCAGAGGAGAAAATGCAGAAGTTTTAGGAGATTTATTTCAAATATGTTTCTTAAAGCATTTTTTGCTTAATTTAGGGTTTTTCTTCAGTCCTGATACATCATTTTTCACTGAAGTGATGAAGTAAGTATTGAGTGTAGAACTACCATAGTCACAGGTTTTTCCAAAGTTTGATAATGTTTCTTATAAAGATTTATCTTCGGACTCATTCACTCTGCTGGAAGAAATTATAAACAGTAAAATTTGCATACCTTCCTCTCTATTATAAGAGCTGATTCTTGCATCAGGTGAATGCTATAGCCACTCTATTAGGAGCCAGAGGCATCACAAGTGCATTAAATCAGTTTATGGCATGTCAAAATCAGGCATATATTGTCATGTCTGTATTTAATTACATTTTAAAACTTTCAGTAGAAGAACAGGCCTAGGCCATAGCAAACTTCAACATGAGGAGATGGCGATATTTAAGTAAGGGAAATTATGCTCATTTCACTGCAGCATAATCACTTAAGCTTTTATGGTTTTACAGTTTACACTGTCTGTACAACAACCTGCCCTTGCCTTTGCTTGGGCCAACTTTTCCTGAGTAAACAATCACATACCAGTACCCTATTTCAGATTTGCTCATGGGCCTTGTATGAGAAAGGAAAGTTGGATCAAATATTAAAAACCCAGTGCCAATCTTCTATTGCCCTCTATACTCTTACTTAATTCAAGACGAGTGTAAAACACGCTGATCTGAGAGGCACTTTTAACAGGACTGAGCAAAGTAGATAATTAGCTGTGCAAAATGCTAAACATTTCCTACGTTCTGCATTTTTGCATACTCGCTTCTGTACACATATAACCTATTTGAGATATAATAGCTGCAGATCTTCACTGGTGTTGTAGGTATGCAATGAAAGCTAAACATGTAGCTGTTTTCCAGCCTGCATGCAAATGAGTGTGAAATCTGCATTTGGGTAACGACAAGGATGCTCACCTTGCTTGTAAATTATTTAACCACATTAACACAGGACTGCTCAGGGGACATCAGAAAGGACAACTGGCTTGTGCAGAGATGCCTGCCAAATCTGTGAATGTAACTTGGTTGACTCATTCTTGCATATGTGTCCTGCTCTGAACATTCTGGTTGGAGATGCACAGACTATGCACAGTTGCATGCCCACTGTAGCATGCATGCATATGTTTGGAATGCATAGCCTGCATGCTGGACTACCCTTCTTCGGAAAACGGTTGACTTTTCTGCCTAGGAGAGGAAAGGCTGCTAGTACATCCCTTGACGGGCAAATGACTGTGGATGGGAGAACGGGATAAGGATAGTAAATGCAAAGCTCCTTAAAATATGCTGCATACATTGTCCAAACTAGCGGGACAGTTGTTTCACGATAAAACAAATACTGTATTGCACAGCTTAGTCTTCTTTCTGTGGTAGAAGTAGTGTTTTGAAATTTAATTAACTTCATGTGGCACTGTAGAAATGGATGGCAAATCAATAATGAATGCCATTTAAGTCACCTTGTGGTGTTGTAATTCTCTGTGTTTTGCTACGCTAATTAGGTCTGACTTGAGTGAGAAGCATTTCAGGAGCAAGGGGGTGAATTATTGCTGAGTTCCTGGCTGTCACTGGGGAGATGAAGTAATCTCAGTACTGAGTAACCTCAGTGATTTCAGGAGCCAGCAACTCTTCCAAGCAAAAGAAGGACAATCTCATATTTTGTGAGTTTTGGGCTCAGCTAGTCCATGACTTGCAACTTCAGCTGAAAGAGCTTCAGAAACCAGAAACTGCTCTACCTCATACCTGGCATTTAATAGCTTAATTGCTCTTATTTACACATTCTCCCTGAGACTGTTTCCTGCAAACAGGTGAGTATTTCCTTCATTTGGATCCAGGGCTCCTCCCATCAACCCAGAGAGAGTCATGGGTGAGAGAGATATGCATGTGGGATGGGCCCCTGGCTCTGATCCCTCCTTATTCCCAAAGTCATGGTGGAGAAACAGCTCAGGGAGCAGAATGTAGTTTGCTTCTACGTAGCAAACCCAAACACTGTTAAATGATGGCAATGGCAGCTCTTTTCCTGTTTATTGGACTCAGAGAGTTTATTGTGAAACATGGAGAAGACTGATGGGGTGTCTCCCTTCTCCAAGAACGAGCTACTAGTGTCTGACGGTGGAACAGAGGTTTCCTCCTGACATGCCTTGAGGACCCTCTCCGACAGTGTGCTTCTGTCTGAACCATAAAGAAAATGGATGGATCATGAATAGAACCTAGGGAGAACAGGTACTCTGAGGCTACTAAGTCAGTGCCATGCTTTTTTGGGAAAGTATGTGAACTCCTTTCTCGTGTATTAGTGTGAATGATGATTCCTAATCATCGTTCCTTCTAACATAAACAGTTTCTAATATAAACCATTCCTGCTCGTTACCACAGGCAGCCCAAGCGACATGGAAAATTTCAGTTGTTACATCGCGTTTGCCCAGAGAATTACAGCAGTGATTGAAATGATTTTGCAGTGGTTGGAATACTGCTGAGTGAAAGGTGATACAGAGCATTACACTTCAGAGACAGCAAACATGAAGTGGATGCAGAACTGGCTGTCCTTTTACCCGGGCTCTACTTGTGGGTTGTTGGAGCTGACAAACCTGCAAATTTGTGTAGCTGATATCCAGATAGCATCTGTGCTTCACCTAGTGCCCTTCTCTGTCTTACGTAATACTGGGGGGTGGGAAGGAGAGGAGCTCTAATAAGGTACAGGTAAAGAGTTTGAGTTAACAAATTTAAGTTAATAGTGCTTTATTGTGGTGTTGGCAGTCTGACAATCAACATACATTACAATATACAAGAATATATATGTATGTCTGTTAACTAATATTAATTAATGCGTTAACTATCTATTGGTTAGTTAATTATATTGTCACTGTTCCTTAGCCTTCTTTCTTCTAAAGAAAATAAAAGAAAACAAGAATTTCTCATTCAAAACTGCATATAATCTCCGTTTCTGCAAATTCAAGAAATTTAAGTATATCAAATATACTTACTGAATTCAATCCTCTTGAACTGCCATTTAACAGCTGTTCCTGAAATGCCTTACAGCCTGCTTGAGGACCATGCAAGAATGAATAATATGCTAGGTTCTTTCATGCTTGAATACAATTGATATATTCTCCAATGCATACATCTCTCTGCAGTACCTCTCTGCTGTCATACCTGAAAGGAAAGAACAATAGAAACACTGATTAGGACTATCAGGTTTATTGTCTATCAGAAACCATATGTGGAGTAGTTTACTTTCTGACTGGGATCTGTTTTCTTTGCTCTGAAATTGCTGGTTAAATTCTAAAGTCAATATTATTGTTCAGGTGGTCCAAGGTCTGCCAGGGGCTCCCAGGTTCATTTGTCAACAACACACCCCAAAACCTTGCCTTGCTGTTGAAGAGGAAAAGGCAGTATTTGTAACTGGTTTCTTTGTTGCAGCTGCAGAAACTGAAACGATCACTCTCCTTCAAGACCAAGAGCTTGCGGAGTAAAAGTGCAGACAATTTCTTCCAGAGGACTAATAGCGATGTGAAACTGCAAGTAGACTTGATGCCTGAGGTGAGCACGAGCACTGGGCAGCTCCCTAGCTCAGAGAGCCAGGCATCCTCCCCCACCAGAGCCCAGCAGCTGCCAGAAAACAGCAAGGCTCATATCTTCCAGGAGCACATCTTCAAAAAACCCACCTTCTGCGATGTCTGCAACCACATGATTGTTGGTAAGAAATTATTATTTTTTTAAATCTGTGTGGGTGTCCATGCTAGAACGTGCAGGATGACTTTTCCATAATTTATATGAGCCCAGATGTCTACTTGAGGGTATTCATGCAAAAAGGATCAGGACTTATGTCACATCTGCCACAGGCTAATAGGAGTTCTACATTTGTTGACGGATCTCTTGCCTTGCAGACACATACTGTTATCACAAATCACAGGTGAGGATTTCGGCTAGAGCCAAATTCCTCTCTCATTCAGGTTATACTGAGCACCAAGTGCAAACTCTGTTGTACGTGATGCAAGAAACAGCAGAAATCTTCTTGCAAGTCTGTGTCTGCTATCCTTACTCTCTCCCACGGCAGTAATTCTCCCTTCCTCCTTCTGTCTTCCCCAACGTCGTGCAGTGCCCCCAGTTCCCATTCACAGGTGACCATGCCTACCTCCTCCAGCTGCCTCACATCTCTCCTAAGTAATTTTTGGGCAAGAATTGGCATCTGATGGGTTGTAGGCTCCAAGCTGCTTGTTTGTGCACGTTGGCTATCTAGGACATGTTTTGGGAGACAAGGTCAGCAACTGAATTCTCACTGCAGATGTTCTTGGGATTCTTTTACCTGGTCCTTGCTACTCACAAAACCACACACAAACTTTATACCTTTGAAAGATCCCCCTGTCCTCTCTCTGAACTGTCCGTGGGTATGGAAGTTACTTGCAGGGACTGACAGACAGACACAGAGCTAATCATTTGGTATCCTCTTCACTGTGCAGAGAACAACTCTCTACTGAGCCCTGCTTGTAAGGTAATTTTCAGTGGAGCGTGGAAGGCCCCAAAAGCCATCCTTCATGCTGTGGATTATCTATGAGGCCGTGCAAGGAGAGGTCAGGAAAGAAGTGGTGGCTGGAGGTGTAGAACATGCATGGTCCACCACCATGGGAAGCTGCAGGAGTTGCTGCAAGAAGTCTGGTTCTAGAAATTCACATCATTGTGGCTAGTTTGTTACGTACAGGATTTAGTCTTGCTGCTCGGCATCTAATAGTGCCAGCACAGTGGATCAGGAATAAATTCAGCAACAGTGGACCGGTGTGGAAGTGAGTGACACAGTTTCCATGCTTTTAGCCAGGATAAGGAGTGAAACACTGGTTTGGTTTCATGTAGTAGTAGTAGTATTACAGGTCTGAGTACAAATTGTTGTCGGTAATTTTTCTAGTTTACTAGTCCCTTGGCCTGGAAGTCACTGCCTTTTCAGATAACAGTATATTAAGTTCTTGAAAGATTCTGATAGGGTTGCTCAACCTTTTTCAGAGAATGAGGGTGCTCAGTGTCCCCCACCTGTGTGGGGAACTTGTGTTCCTTGGAAAAGGCAGCTGTCTGCAGAACATTAATTTATGGAAGCAGGAGTGTCTTGCATTAGTTTTAAAGAATTAAAGACACGAGACCTGATTTCATCCTCCCTGCATCACAGTTCTACTTAATCCAGGGAAACAGAGGAGTTTTGATTCCAGATTTTTGGTGTTATTTTCCAGTCTTTTAAGTTTCTTTCTAATTTAAGTGGAAGAACAAGCCAAAGGGAGAAGGAGTAAAACATCAATATCAGGGAATTTCATCATCCAGATATTTAAAGGAAGCCTGAAAGATAGGCAGTTATTTGAAATAGCTTTATGTATGGAAGCAGGCCCAGAACTTGTCTCATCCTGTAATGTGCATGCATTTTCTATCAAAACTTAGTTTCACAAATATATACTGCAGTATAAGTCCTTCACGTTTCTGGAAACTTCTCATGAAGTTGTATGGAGGTCAGTATCATCACAAATCTGCACGACCCAGCAATACTGTTTCAAAACACTGTGGCTTAACAGGGATTACTACTGGCAGCAGACTTTGCAGGGAGTAACTCCAGTTCATAAACACTCATGCCCTTTTCCTTTGCCCAGCATTCTGTGTCCTGCCTGGGACAGGAAAGTACTGAAGCACAGCTATAAGCTTCAAAACATCAGCTTTAATCCCATCTGCCTTCTGAACTTTCCCTGCTCTTTTCTGTCCTCCAAGTGCTTCCCTTTTCTGCTCGGTATCTTAGCCAATTCATTAAAGAACGAAGTCTTTTGTAATTGCTGAAGAAGCTGATGTGACCTAATTTGCCTCGTGGCAGGTTGAGTCAGGTGAATTGTTCTGACCTCCTCCAGCAGATCTTTTCTTGGAGGTATGGCAGAAGAGTTGTTAAGAGTTTTACCTTATAATGCCTTAGAGTCTAGATGCCCTGATTCTCATAGACAGACATCTACTCTGTTCTTGTAATCCTCTCTTTGATCCTTACTGAGGTCATGCCTGGTTTTGCTGTATTGTGTTTTAAGCAGTATGGGAGTTCTGGATCTTACTGTTTGCAGGGCAATTAATCCATAGGTTGTGCAACTGTTGGTTATGGGGACAGTGAAGCAAAACAGGCAGCTTTTCAGGAAACTCTGTCAAGCCTGCTCCCAAAATGAAACAAACAAACAAAAAAATTCCTTCTGTGCAGGGACTCTGAATTTACACTTGCAACATGGAGACTATTTGTTCTCTCTATCTGCATTTTTCACGGGCAGTGACATTTGTGAGTAATGAGTCTATGGCTTTAAATTCCTTATTGATGAGAATAAAGGCAAAGACAGATACATGTTTTGAAGACTGGGGGAAAGAAAAAAAGAAAATCCCAGCTTGACTTTAGATGGTTTCAATTTGACCATCAAGAATGATTCCAGGTTCACCTTAAATGGCTCTCTGATCTATGAACTAAGCAGTTCTGTTTGGTACAGGGCAGCATGATGAACTGTGCATAGCGTGAGTGTGCAGCATGCGCTTCAGTCTCACTGGCATGGCAGCATCTGCCTGTAGCTTCAGAACGATCGGGACACTCAGAGCAGAGGCAGCAGGCTCCCTGTGCTGCTCTTTCCACAGCAAAATTAAAGCAGAGGAAGTCTTCCTACAAAAAATATGTGCATCATCTCTCCTTGATTGTTAGGCACTATGTGCCAAATGTTGCCTTTGGGATGCAGCACGTGTGCCTGTTTGTTCATTTGACAGAAGTACAGTCATAAGATAAAGGCCAAATACATGTAATTGGTTTCAGCACTCAGAGGAAGATGTTTACTAGGATCAGTATAATGCAAACTTACTCATTCAAATGCTTTTCATGCATCCCAGAGTGCAATGCAACATAATCAAAAGAAGCTCTGTTTATTGGTTTGATTTCAAAAATGAAAAAACGTCTTAGTAGCGTGCTTCATACCTCACATTAAAGACAGGAGTTGAAGTGTTCCTACTAACTGTACTAGACTGGGGATAAAGTTCTGCCTTGGTAAACAGCAGCAAAGTACTGTATAGAAGCAGTAGTTTTCTGCCAGATGAAATAAGGGTGAAAATGAAAATTTCTGATTCAAGCGAGATCTGAGGAGTGCATGAAGTGTATTTTACATTAATGGAGCCTTCTTGAAGCTTCAAATACTCCAGTAGAATCATCATTTCCAATGCTTAAGTCAATAGGAATAATTCATGTAATTTCAGAACAAATCAATAGTATGTTGAAGCACACTCTATACTCCTTTCTGCTGCTCACTGCCACTGTGAGCTCTACACATCGGTTAGTTTGGGACTGAGGATTCAGCTCCATGGTGGGTTACATATTTTCCTAAATACATCCACCCATGAACATCCTCTCACAGTATCACACTCTGAAATCGGTTCATTTGCTGTTCTTCCTAGGAGTGTTTATTGCTATTTTAATATCTAACCCCAGCAAAGGAAAACTTGCAAAGTATCTTGTGGAGTGTATCGGTAGATCACTGTTTAGAAGACACTGGTTTGGTTATTTTACATCAGTGTGAAAGGTAAAACAAGTCAGCACCTCTGAGTATGCTTTGTGTTATCTACCAATTTCTTTGTTTAGCAAGAATGTGGTAGGATTTGGCAATATCCGATAAGGGAAAGAAAAACTGCCTGGCACCAACAAAGATAGAAACTATTAAATTAATATTGCATCAGATAAGGATCTCAAACTACGCTGATCAGAAGCAAGTTCTTGCTCTTCTTCAGTCTCTGGTGTGTCATCAGTCATCTCTGTGACACTTTATTCTTGAAGAAAACATTATGCCGGCACCCTACTCTTGAAAAACATTGTGTATTTTAAAAAAAATTCCATCTGCAGGGTTCTCAACATTTTACTCATTTACAGTTCATTTCCTGTGCTGACTCATATGGAAAAAATGTTATTTTCCACACATTCCAAGCATATTACATGTAATTAATCTATTCCCATCTAAGTAAAATATAAGTAGTGTATCAAAAAAGTAAGCCACTTTGCTTCTAAAAATAGCTGACTTCAAAGTCAGTCCTTTAAAGCTGTATTTTAAAGAAATAGCTGCTCATTTACAACAACACTGTTTTATGTTTCTTTGTGTTTCAAAGATGTACTTAGCAGTTTCATTCCAGACTTAAGCTTAACTCTGACACAAAATTTTGTCTAACTACGTGTTTTACTGACATATATGTTGGGGTATCTTTGCCTGAAAAGACATGCTAGAGGGACACAAACTTTCAAACAAAGCTGTAGTCTGCACTATCCAACAATAGACAAAACCAGGTTGTTCTGGATCATGTCATTGCTGACTTAGGTACCTGAGATATATGCATTTATAGTTGGTGTCAGGGCAATCGAGTTTGTGATTTGGATGTAAATTCTCCAGACCTTTGCAGCTCTGGAGGTAAATAATTCAACACCTGTCTTCTCAGGGGAGCTAACTAGGTTCCAGTCAGAGAAACCTGTAGAAAACAGAATGGACTGAGAACAGCATTGACGAGAAGGACTTAGGGCTGTTGGTCAGTCAACATGACCTGGCAAAATATGCCTGCAGCTCAGAAAGTCATCTGTATCCTGGGCTGTATCAAAAAAGCATGACCAGCAAGTTGATAGAGGTGATTCTAATCCTCTACTCTTCCCTGATGATAACTCACCTGGAGGGCTGCATCCAGCTC